TTTTTCCTGGACTGCATCTCAAAACGCGTGAACAATTTCGCTACAATACCAAATAAATTTTGTTTTATCTTTCTGTAGTGTAAAAAATAGTTTAAAACACCGCTCACGATTTTTCTGAGCACGGTGATCTTTAGATACGACTCTGACATGGATAACATATATTGGTTTTAGAAAACAGTAGTTTCCGTTCATTTGTTGCCTTATTTGGTTTGTGCTTAAGCGATCAAATTATTTGGAAGAGATAATCTTACGCTGAGTTTTGATTGGGCCTTCTCTGGTTGTGCTCTTATTTTTCAATCAAATATATATAGCATGTTATAAAAGAACACTACACATGTTTTTGGCCAGTTTTGTTCAGTTTTCCAATGTTTGCATGCATCTAAATATCGCTGTTTTTATTGTCTGTAATTGTAAACAGCTCATCACGTTTGTCGCGCACAAAACAAGACAAAGCGAAGTTGATTTTCCCAATACATTTGCCGGTTCCCAATCGGTATTATTCATAGTATATAGTGCCAGTGTTACCCTTCAGGAAAGGTTGTGCTATACAATCCAAATATATCCTCACAAAACCATCTGCTCGTGTCTCGGATGGTTTTCTATGTTGAGGATTCATGAAGTTCTCAGATTCATGGTGCAACATAGTGTTAGATACCTAACGTATGTACATGTATGTATAATATCCTTCAGAATTAGAATGTTACAATCTAATTAGATCATTTGAACACATGCAGCCAATATACAGAGAAATCCATCCGAGTCCTGTCTATGTCCTGAAAGCATCCTGCTCAAATTAAGCATGCCTGTGCTAACCGGAGGTATCCTGCATGCAGAATATATGCGTACGCTACCCAGAGATTCCTACATTAAACAAGCTTACGGTGGCCCGCAATATCCTTCAAGAAACATGCTTACGGCTCATGGCGTAATATTGCGCAAACAAGTTAATGATGCCTCAAGGAATAACTGCAATTCAAAGCCCCCCCGCAACTGCACTCAATTCCTTACACTTCTACACCCGGCTCGTCCTTGCCCGCCCACACCACTTGGTAGGAATCGTCTGCTCACCTCAAGCCGCCTTTTTGGACGTCGTCCTTCGTCTTTTTTTGCTCCCTTCATATGCATGTAAAGTTGCTGGTTTATTACCTCTTACTTGGACCATTGCCTTGAATTAGGAATTTTTTCAACTTTTGCTAGCGCTAGCAGTAAAAATTTACTGCGGTTAACCTTCATTAAAACTTGTATTCTATCCAAGATTGTTCGTTCGTTGGTATAATTTTAAACTATTTACGAAATCTTAATTTTATTTATGTAATTCACGGTGGTGTCGGTCATGTGTATCATTTATAATTAATTGTGCGGTAGCATTTTTAATTCATTTGAAGTAAGAATAAAAATGCGTTCTCACATTGAAATAATAAGGCCTAGTACTATATATCTATCTTAAATGGCGTATATTAGAGTACAATAGTGCAAGTCCCTCACTACTGGTATATTTGATACCTCATAGACAACTTAAAGTACTTTAGCAAATGCATCTCCCGCAATGATTGCCATCATTGTGATGTAATGTAATATTTATTCCAACTTGCCATGACATTACCTAAACGCACAGACTTGTAGGCTATTTCTCAAACTTAGTTCTGTGAAATTACATACAAATTTTATTTTCATTTGCTCAAAATTAATGTCAGAAATATTTCTTTTTCTCATCAAAGAAACGTAAAAATACTTAAGATGCATTGCGTCCAGATCGAGAGTACAATATATTTCAAGAGACTACACGCTCAATGCTCGCGTAACGATTTGTCTGTACGGGATACATGTACTGGCACTGGCATGGAACGTTTCTTGTTATTCCTAATAGCTCACTGGAGGCTCAATTGCATGGTATGGTCTCTGATATTTCCCCCAGAGTGGCCATAAATTCATTGAAACACAGCGCCGAGATGACAATGGTTTCTGGACACACAAGAGAGGCAGGCATATTACAATTATTTGAAGGCCTGCATTTCTGTTTGCAATGATTAGACAATTTCATGGCCGTCGCTGCATTTCCATTATGCTGGCTGCATTGTCAAATGCGCTTGTAATTTAAGTGTACGCAGAACACTTTTATTACCATTGTTAATTGGAATTAACAATGTTAGTAATATATTAATCATCGTGCATCCATTAACTTTTTTTGTTTGTTGCCGATGTATAGATTGATAAAAAACTTCCATTGGTGTTAGTTGAATTAGTGCGGGGAACAACAGTTTCAATTATTACAGCCATGAACTGAATGAAACTAAAATTTAGATTTCCTAAAAATAACAGCGCGTTATTTCTTCTTGCCGATGATTTTTCTCAGGAGTGTTTAAGCCTTAAAGACGGAGATTTAAGGTATTTGTTTCGTCAAGAAGTGGCAGGAATGTTTCAACTATACTGCCGACGATCCTCGGTAGTCTCTGCGGAATTTTGAAGCTCAAGAAAATTAGAAACGTCTTCGCTAATGCTCAAGTGTCACATAAACAGAGGTTCTGTATAGCGTTCTATGATATAAATAGCATTTAAATATAGATTGAAAAGACCAGCTAAAGCGTAAATATGACTTTTCACTAATCTTCTGATAAGGCCCAACCAGTGAACCATGTATGAATCTTAAAAACAGAGCTATGGTTTTGTAGAAACGTACGAAAAAATTCAGAACTTGAAAGAAAATTTGAACACAATTGACGGTCAGTCTTCGTTCCTCAGCGTTGTCATTATATATTATTATGTTAACCTATAAGGTCGTGACCGCTGTCTTCCTCAACCGAAACTGTTGCAAAATTTCCTGATCGTGTGTGCGTTATTGAAGATTCATTTCAACGATCACTTTTTCATTTTTGTTGATAGGCATCTTTCGTGGTTGCGATGTGGTTGCAACCGTTTTATCTGTACGGGCATCATGCCGCATGAGATAGAAGAAGCGTTTCTTTCTGTGTTCTTAACGCCTTGGGTGCGGCATCTCTGTGATCACGGATCGATAAATCTCGGCGAGCTAACCAGGAATCTCGACGTCGTTTCTTTTCACCGATCACTTTTTGTGCCTGTTGTAGGCAGGTATATACCTTCTGTGTCTTAAATGTCTTACTTCGTGTGTAATAATAAATAATAACAATGTTACATTGTTTCAAGCGCGAATAGTGAACTTTGTGGGTGCTCTATTTCCTGTCGCGAATTTGTTAGATTCTTAGAGATGTTTTATCTAGGATACGACGCGAAAAGATAGTATTGACGGAGAGGCAATGAGCACGAGACACTCCCATATCCGGCACAGCATCTAGTGCCATGTCTCTGCAGTATCTGTGGAAGGCTGGGGAGTGCCGAATGTTGGGCACGCATCTTTACATGGCCGTAGTGCTGAACTCCCTGACATCCTTGGCCGTACGTTAAAATCTGTCAACGAGTGACTGACGTGAACAGACGTCTTGGCTCTTTACGACTGCGCCGGCACAAGGTGGTTTACCTAACATGCATTTCTTAGCAGCTCAGTCTCGATATAGCAGGATAAACCTGCGAGCATATGGAAAAGTGCACGAAATGTGCTTGTCTATACATTTATGAAAATTAATGTCCATGGAAAATACACATTTTGAATCGATTTCACTGGTTTATGAAGCAACAGTCACTAGTTTTTAATTCGTTTGCGCAGTTATTTGTGAAGCAATTCAGTATTGAGCTTTTACACTACCGATAATGTCGGCCTATCCTACGAGAAGTCTTTAAAATTCGAGGCGTTAATGACGTGATTTTGCAAATCAATTGCAACAACGATGTGTGGACCGTAGCAACGAAGCGGGGAAGACAGAACGTCGTTAGCAGTTGAGGCTGTGAAGAGGTTTTGTGTTTATAACCTCACCAGGAGGTCGACGCTAATTACCTGTTCATAATGCGCCATTCATCTTCACAGTGCCCTGCTCCAATGAACTCTTCACTGTTATTTCAGGAACGAATTGTTTGTTTTATGCGCTCCTGTCTTACTGTTGACGCCTCCGACACGAAATTGAGCTGAAAGTAATTAGGCAAACCTCATTACATTATCGAGAAATTTCCCACATGCAGCACAAGATTGTTTTATTATATTTTCATTTTATTCCCGAATCGAAAGCGTTAGCGCCAAAAAACGACTCCTTTCTTTCGGTTCGGTCAACTTGCTTTGAGGTTAATTTTTTTCGAAAGATTCATATTATTTCACGGTAATTCATGTACAATGCAGACAAATATATCTGCTGGAGCAATCCTTTTTGAGTTTCTACTCACTATGCACTTCATATCATCTTTATACAAGAAGTTAGTGCATTGTATTTGTTAAAGACCCATCAAGTTCTCAGCTCTGGTCTGCCCCACAAATCAATTACCGTTCATTTATTTTCAGAATGCCTCGCGTGACTTCAAACAACCGTCGTCTCAGTTGTTCACTGTTAGACTTTTCACGTTTGCCCATTTTTTCTCTTCTGGTAATAACATCATAATCTTTTAGTTCTTGAAGAATTTTTTCACAAGCCTTCAGTTTAAACTTTTTTCTTTACACATCTCAATGTATCTTGAAAATTTGAGTTTTTCACATCTAGGCTTTAGTTAATGATTGTTATGTGGAGGTTAAAGTGTGCCGCTCGGACGAGTCTCACTCTAAGCTGGCATGAAGCCGAGCTAGAGCTAATATTGTGGTGTCATTTTTAGCCGACGGTGTTGGCAGAGCCTTCGCTCCTTGCCACCAGTTCTGTTGCTCGATCCGCTCTCTCTGCATGCACTCGCGTCCCTTTGCATTACGTTACTCTGTTGGATTATGACGTTCTAGATTATGACGTTCAATACAAGTTCTAGTGATATGGCGTTAAACTATGAAATTAGCCCGTTAATATTTACTTCAGTGATTGTGTATAGTTATTGCTCGAAGTGCTGCTTAATCTTGAGCGTGCTGTAAAATGCCCGTGTGTTTTTCCAGTGAAAATTTCGTGCTCTCTTCTATAAAACGAATTTTTGTGTGTATTTTATTTTGGTAAACAACATTTTCAGTGTTTGTTTTATTTTAATTATATACTTTTCGTTTCAGAAAAACTGTGATTGCCTTGTTTTTTCACTTGCGTATATCTATACGATAAATAAGTTTGCTGAATTGTGTCTAGATGCATTGAATGTCCAGTGATGTGGGTGTTACCGTATACTTGGCACAGAACCGTGTAGCGTATTTCCCGTGCCGTGCTGAAAACCTGCGTGCTTTCCATGTATTAGGATCTGCTGATTGTCACGTGAAAAACTGCGGTCAACACTATGCTTTCTGCTCCCCCGCCAACGTTGATATTTTGGACTTTGAGAATAACATTGGCGTGGTCACCGTAGACACGGAAGCTTTAAAGCAGTTTTTAGCGGCGCGGCGTCTACTACCCTCCTGTGAACCTTCACCCTCTCCCGCCACTTCCACCTTCTGCCGCGCCACCAGCCTTCCACCTTACCACTATCAATCCACTGCCGGTGCCTCGAATTTCAGCACTTCTCACACTACCACTCAACTACCCCCCGATCCTTGTCCACCACGTCGTTCTTCCCTGAACATCATCCACACCTGGAATCCTGCGTCGCAGCCTCAGCTTGCAAGAAACTATAGCGAGTCCGAGCTGGCCGCCACGGGACGCAGAGGAGGGGGCGCCTCGCCCTCCTCGGCTCACTTTGACTCTTCACACCACGCGTTCTCCAAGCTTATGCAGACCGACGATGTTTCCAGCATTGCTGAGCAAATTGCCAGTCAGGCAGAACTCATCTATCAAACGTGGAAAACAACGGGACTCAACCCAAATCAACTGATTCGTTATCATAGCATTGCCACCGAAGATGATGTTGACTCAGCGCCAGCCCGGGCAGTTACTCCCGTTCCGCGAACCCCGATGCGAAGCATTAGTCCGGCTCCCCCAGGCTCGTCACCCGCCGTCCCCCGACGAGTTCTTGATTCCTCCATGACGAATGGTCGTCAATCTCAACAGTTTTCAACCAAATCTATTCCACAACAGAATACGTATCAACCGCATCAACAACCGGAGAAACAAAAAAGCGATTCTCCATACATCCAACAACATTATAATCAGCAGTCGTATACATCAAAACAACCTCAGCATCACTTCCAAAACCAGCAAGTTCAGCATATCCAGAATCAGTCTCAGCACGCTTCTTCGCCCGTGAGAACCTTAAATGCCAGTCCGCGTCCGTACGTGTCTCCGAACAGTCCTCAGACCCAAGGCCAAGCTCCTTTCCGGTCAGCGTCTCCGTCTCCCTCAAGCGGAGGTTTCCTTCACTCCAGCTCGCCACGTCCTTATGTTACGTCTCCTCCTGTGTCACCGCCACAGCCCCCTGAACGATCGTCTTCTTACTCTGGTAGTGACTCGCCCGGCGATGGACGTCAGGCACTTACAGATCCCAAACTTGAAGTGTCACTTCGAGACCTGGTAAATTCATTCGTTCTTGAAGACAAAGCCCGGCAAGGTTTAGGTACTCGACTCAACGAGCGTCCTAAAAGTGCTCCTTCCACGATCCAAGATGCTCTGCAGCGTTTTGAGCGACAAATGGCAATAACATCGCGCTCTACGCCTCCAGCGACAGACGATCGCTCGCTTGACATGTCTGTTGTTCCCTCCTCCATGTCATCGCCGTATTCTTCGGATGTTTATTCTGGTTCTTCACCCTATTCTCCTAGCTCGTCAGCTTCTCGATTTTCCGCTAATAATTCAAATAGCTTGGTGGGTGAATCAACTTCTAAGCGTTATACTGGATCCAGAAGCGAGCCGTTGGTCGCTGATGGCTGGCAGAAATCGAGCTCGAGTAATAATCCGGAGCTGGATTTCAGATCTCGGCGGTCAATTTCACCGAGCCCTCCTCCTCTGGCTCAGCCAGGATGGAATGAGACTTCTCAGAGCAGCACATCAACCTGGCCGTTGAAGTTCAAGCAACCTCCCCCCGGACAACAATCTTCTTCGTATTCCTCATCTTCAATGAGCGTTTCGCCTCCAAAAAGCAGCCACGGATCTTCTGGCAACAACTACGTGACAACTCTCGAAACTCGAGTCGAGCTTCCAGGATCGCCTGCAACTGTTCCGAGCCGCCACAAAGTTATTAATTTGGGGCCCCCATCTCAAGAAGAACGAATTTTGCAGTCGTTAAGATCCAGTTCACTTATCCAAGAATCTGAACAAAAGCGACTTGCAAGCCAGCAAGCTTCTCGATCAAGTAGCGGGACATCAGCTTTTACTCCAAGCTCTCCCAGTACCACATCCAAGCCAAAACACAAATTTTCCATTAGTGTTACCGTCGATGTGGATGAAACCAAGACACCCGAAGTTGACAATTCCGCGTATCGAATCAGACCAGAAGTCAGTCAAATGTCCACAATCGACTACGCAAAAAATAGATTCCAAGAAGCCCAACAACATCCTAAAACATCTGTACGCCTTCAAGATGAACGAAGTATATTAGGAACCAGAAGTACCGCTGTTAATGGTGATGGCCGCGTTCTTTCAGTCAAGAGCAGGTTTGAACCTGGTGATGGTATGCTGCGCTCTTACGATCCAGTACTGTCTACATTACCTGAATTTTATCGCCGGAAACTTCGGAAGATGCAGCGCAAGTCGGGTTCGCCAGAACCTCTGGCCGGTGTACTAGCGACTTTACCTCACCCTGAGCTGACGGATCAACAAAAGGCTCACATCAGAGAGCGGTCACAGTCACCAACCGCCGCCGCATTCCATGCCGCTGCTGGAGCCGCTGCCATACGGCCGTTCCTAACGCAAGGCAGCGTCGCCGAAAGGGTCATGATCTTTGAGCGAGCGCCCGTTGAAATGAAGCCCAAACCTCCGTCAGAAATATCACATCTTCCTCAAGAGCGACGACGTCCGATCTTGCCATACCGGGATCCAGATTCCGTACGTTCTAAAGCTCAGGTAAGTCATGTCACTCTTTGTTCCGTGTACCTCTGTAACTTCACCATTACTCATGAAGAAACTGACCGTGTTTAACCGTGTTTAACATTACTCTATAACTTCGCTGATCGTTGGTCAACTGTGTTTAACTGGGGAAAAACTACATGTTAATTATTGTTATTGTCTATACTTGTGACTATAATCACATTTCAAATCATCATCATGGCGTTCAACTGTTTCTGAAGTCTCAGGATTGACGTTTATCCGTGTCTCGTGTTGTACAGCTCCATACCGGAATACTACTACTCTCTGACGTGTGAATACATTAAAGACCTGCTATAAGAAGGGAAAAATTTATAGGATCATAACACACTGAGCTGACCTGGCCAAATTAAGAATGAGGGAAGAAAAGTACTTGCTAAATTGTTATCATTGTAAACCTAAGATTGAGATGTCTTTCAATCTCTATTTCATTTTGATTTCTAATTAGGCAGGGATGGTAGAATTGAAAATCTAAGCTGTGTGAGCTTCATTCTCACTGTGAGGTAATATCGCGGTAACTGAACTATCGACGTAAAACGTTGGCTGCGACCCAAAACTTAGTTTACCCTGACCATTGTTTTGACTTGCGCTTTGAATTCAATTAAGAACGATTTATTCGTAGAAAAAATATGATGTTGGGATGTTGGTGCAGAAATTTTAGATGACATACTCCTATTCTAAAATAGACCAGTAAACAAGTCAAGAATTTCATAACATTGTTTAAAAATTGCTGCATATGCAGGTGATATCATTCAACGATCAAGAACAATCCCTTATCGTCTTATGTTTTAATTCTCGATGAACACGATAGATCCTTGAGAGCTTTTAAATCGTATTTTTTTCTGAATTTATTAGCGCATGTTATCGAGTTACATATCAATTGCAAATTTCGTCCGTGATTGCCATTAAAAAAAAAAGTTCGAGTTCATGAAAATTTAGTCCATTTTAAATTTCTCACTTATTATATTATAGTTAAATGCATTCTGGCGTGACATTTCCTAGTTGAGTGGGAACCCTGCGACCGCTCTTCATTTAGTGGCTTCCTCTCACCACAGAATGTCAATGCTTCTATTACTCCAGCTAATCTGCTTTGTTAAGATCGAGACCTTCTAGAGGGGAGTTGGTAGCACCGAAAGTGTTACAATTAGACTATTGTGCTCGCAGTGCACTTCCTTTGAAACTTGTTTTGGTGACACTATGAAACTCTGGGGCGTCACCGCTGTTTTCGAGAGTCTCTCTTGCGTCTTATGCGACACCTCTGTATTTATGAAACTTTTATTAAGGTTCTCGCCCATTTTTCATAAGGAGACGAAGTTGTGGTTGCGAACTTTATTCTAGTTCGCTATGGGTGTAGTCCTTTGGCTATGTCTTGCAATGAACATTGTAATATACTTTAATACGAGTGTTATTTTTACATATGTTTGAGTGAATAGTATCATCGTTTCTTTAAAGTTTCTTCGAGGTAAGTTTCATCTTCTGAAGACGTATTTTCACTAATTTTTTCGAGAAATCTATCCTGAGATATGAATCACGTTTTCATTCTGCTGATAATGTACTCCGTTACTTAAATTCTCTCAGTCTATATAACTGAACCTAAATTATCATGTGAAATGCCGTTCTATTGAATATTGCTAGATAAAGATAAATTTGCAATGTTTACGAGGTTGAAGTCCGTGGCGCGTGTTAACACGTATGTCTTCTTTCTCTCCTATAGTTCTGGAACATCTTGCACTTTTTGGCCGAGTTAGACAATCTACCGGTAAATATATTAAACCTTTACTATACGTGTGAAGTGCGGCTCTGTTCAATTCAAATCCTTTACGCCTGTGGAAAACTATGGAAACATCTAGAACTTACACCCTCGACCACGCCTGATGTCAGACCAAATGGGTACATTGTATGACACATTCTCTAGATTCTATTCTCTTCATTAATTTCATTTAGGGCGCAGAATCATTAGCACCAGTCAATTTACAGAAAGAGAATTATTCTGGCCGTTATAATTTCTCTTAAATAAAAAAACATCTGTGAACATTAGATTTTTAGACGGTTTTTGTCTCAAAAAAGCTCAGCCTGCAGAGTAGGAACTCGGCTCCATTTATATCCCTGAGAAATATACTCGAAATGTGGGATCGGCATCGTTGCCCATTTAATTACAAATTTTCTCTTCTTATTTTTCAATGATTGAAGAATTTAATTAATAGATGCCGTTTTGATTGTCATTCATTAGAGCGTTGCTTAATTTTACTAAAGACGCGTGCTGTTATTGAAAATTATTCAGGAAATATGCCCTTATGGTCTGACACGGGCCTGTGGTGGTTGTTGCTGTTGTCAGTTAAATCCTCACCTTAATTGGTTCACTAACGGTTGTATGAGCGTGATTGTGTACGTTCCATTTATATGGTATTTGTTGCAGGCCGTTTATTATAATTTGATCAGTTCGATGTTTCCTGGTCTCCTCAGTTCTTTTCTCAGTTGTGGTTGGATTCATGTCCGTGGATAGATTTCTTTTCAGTTCCAGACAGCTTGTTTGTGTTCCCTTTAATGAGAATCGTCTTCATTTAATTTTATACCGCCTCATTTCATCGGTGCTTAAATTTGAGAATTCCGGCCTTCAGTTAAAATAATTTATTTTAATCAACTGCGGTACGAGGGCTCTACAGCTTTTTATGTCATTGTAATTTACTGTGTTCTCTATGGGTAGATTTGTATTATATTTTTTTGTTGATTATACACATCGTTTTCAAAACACAAGCCACACTATCTGTTGTGATGAAAATAATTAACCTGAATTACCGCTTGAGCTTCAACGCTCCAAAAGTTGCTCTTGCTATCATTTGCAAAATGTGCTCTTAATGATTTACTTTGTTTTACTTGTACTGCCGTAGTGCCTCGCACTTGCCTCATTTAATACGTTAAATCATCCCAACCACACTGAGAAATTTTACTGATCGCGTGCGTGCTTTACTGATGAATAACATACATGAAATTCTTAACTAATGTCCTGGCGTGTCTTGCAGCTACTTTGTTCACTCCAAATTGTGTTTCAAATCATGCAAAATTTCTAAGTGACAATACATTGTCAATCATACGTGAATTTTTTGTTAATAATTGAAACTCGATTTTGAAACTTTTACTGATTTATTTTATTAGTCTTTATAAAAGAAATGCTCGATAGGTAACAGAAAATGTTTTTTTATCAGGTTTAATACTTAACACGAAAGTCACATTTTATTGTAAATAAAATTTTACGATCGGACTAACTATATGAGGATATGCTTTATGCATTTTCATTTTTTAAATATAATTACGTGGGTGTGTGAAATTTGTTGCTTTCAACCATTTGTAGTGTGTCAAACTATTGCACTAAGTTCTTCGATGCCCTGAATAAAATGGTTCGAATGAAAATCATTTACTATTGTATGGAGTTACGTGCTTCGTGGACATCTGAAGCAGCGAATCTACGCTTTGGTTTTTCGCCTAGTAATAGTTGCGTTATTTTGTGTTTTTTCTTATTTTTGAAGGAATGAGTCCCCGCCTATCTGACGCTTAGTAACAAATCGTTTCGCAACTCTTAGAAGACTGTCCAAATTGCCATGTAACGTGCAGCAAATCATCGAGGTTCCACGTTCATATTTTGTCGTGTACTGAACACTTCCTATGCACTAATGCCTACTATATACAAACATCGCCGTATTGTGAATTAATCAGTTTTTTTATATAACAACGCAGTGTTGTATAAATGTGTTTACACAACTTAATACCACTTACGCAATGGCCCAGTTGTTGATGGTACAAGACTATAACGAAAAATATTGTAATATCGCTTGATTGTCAAAGATTAAACCTCGTTAGAACTGTGTTCATAATGGTAGTTCGACGACAAAATCCTGACCTTATTAGCACTAACAATCATTGTTTGTGATATTTTTTGTAGTATCCTTTCCCAATATTGTAGTGTCACACACACCCGTATTTACAGCACATGAATTATCTCGTGTCGTGCAGCCCTCAGAAGAGACCTTGGGTCCTCCGCCTTCAGGAGGCACGAGTCCCGCCATCGCAGCCGCCGTGTCCACCGTCAGCCGCCACATCGAGAGCAACGTACCCGCCTTGCTCGCTCCCGCCGACCTGCGCAATCAGGTGACGTACTCATATATTATTTATTCTTATTTATCGGTGATTGTAGGAATCTTTCCTTTCGCCTAGGAAAGAAGTTCTAAGGAATTTTCCCTTTCGCCAGGGAAAGAAGATTTTTAGAAATATTTTTGTTGCTCTGTCTCCTGAGAGCGATAGGCCTTGTAAAGACTCCATTTGGAAAGACTCCTCTCTGGTTGTTTTGCAGACTCGTACATGGATAAGATATTTTTTCCCGTCCGCAGAACGTAAGCGTATCTTCAGTTAGGATGAACTACGCGTGTCTTCATGTGTTCCGGTAAAAAATTAGAATGAATTTATAAATATCACAAAATATTACGTCAAATTGTTGAAGAACACCAATCGATTTCGATTAACCCGGACTCGCTTCAAGGATTCTATCACGCTACAACCCCGGGTGTGGGACACATTAGGTATATACCTGATCCTTGCCGCAATTACTGTGTAATTATTATACGAAGACACGTTATTCATAATTTTCTCCTAAAAATTGTTTTTTAAAGTTCAGTTGTTGACATAATATAATCTACCACTGTTGGAGCTATGGATGTACTTTTTTTCTACTCTCATGCATCCAAACCGTGTGACCACAGTCTGGCGTTTGCCTGTCTTTGCACCCAGCAAGCGCCTCATAGAACAAAGTTGCCGTAATCTATAGAGACTGTCTTGGACAACATTGGTTCTTGCCTTTGTTCTCGTGCGCCAAACGTTATTTCTGTAAACAAAGTTTCACCTGTTTCTGTCGACAGCTTCCGAACAATGGCTGAGTAAGTTGAGGCTCACATCTAGACGGAATGGCACTCCTTCTTGGTCGAAAGCTCCTATAATCTGTCAAAAATAATAGTTACGGCTTATATATGGTCACGCAGGTGTGACTTCTCTAGTAATTTGTGCTCAACATTAGGATATCTAGAGAAAAAATGTTACTCGTACGTGCCACTATCGTAATGGTTAAGAGACGTAATTTCAAGTTTATGTCCTGTGGCGAATTGGGAAGTTTGAATTGCTAAGTTCGGGAATAATGACGAATTATAAGTTCTGCCCGGCTAAACAATTGAAGAAAAAAAAAAATAACTCAGTACTCACTGCAGTGAGTGACAGAGAGCGCATTTTCTCGTCGACGAAAACATGAAGTCACGGACGGACAGACGGACATGGCGAGCACAATAGTGCATTTTTTCATAAATGAGAAAATGCGCTAAAAAGCTGGAATTTCATCACTTGAATTTCTGTTTTGATTAGACTAGGAAAAATGATGAAATTTTCAAACTGAGGAAGGTGTTTGAAATATTGTCACTCAATTAGATTGATGACTTTCTTTATATTCGGCCTAACTGATTTACTAAACAATTAATTTTTAATCTCCGTACCACAGAACATATTTTTTGGCTTCATAGGATCAACCAATTCTAATTATTTTGAACTTCTATTGAGGCTAATAGAGCCGTTATAATAGATGCGCGAAGCACCAATAACCTTTGGGTTTAGCAGTGTTTACGCTATTTTTAGTGTTAGCTTTGTAACTTAAGTCTGATAGTTTGCAGCTTGTTAATAGAGAATAAATGAAAATTTACTTCTTTTATTCTGGAATAGCGTCAACGGGTTTGAACTTCGTGAACGACAATTGGAACAGTCTCCCTGATTACATCGCGACGCGCCGAGTATGAACGCATGCCAGAACAGACTAGATAAAGTCTGTTCTGGCAGAACAGAATAATAAAATACAGAAATATATGTTCAGACTTGAAATGCCTAGCACCATATCCGCATATCGAACCTGATGGAAGTCTAGTGGAGCTATTTCAAAGTCAAACTAACGTCAGTTGAAATGATCCAGTTAAAGGACCTGTTTTTAGATCTCCTGTGGTCAAGTCATGAAAACTAAAAGAATCGGTGACAGGCCACATCAGGCCTATTAGTCAGTGCCGACATTACTTTGATAAACGTATATGATAGTTAGTTAGTTTAATGGTCAAATGTTTACTAGCGCTTCAGCTATTTAGCTATCTCGCACCGAAAGTCAAGATGAACATCACTAAAGAGGTGGAAGGTCTCAATTATTCATCACCCACAAGGGGCGGAAGGTCTCAGATCTCCGGCCCGCTGAAGCTGGCTCGAAGGAAGCAGCGTTAGCATCTCAAAGAGACGAAGTGACAAGGAGGGACAGGTGAAAAGCAACAGAAACGAAGACACTCGAACAAGAGGTCGCTTACACGGGACGTCGGCCGCCCGCACGAGAGAGACAGAGAAGGGAAATGTAGGTATCCTACCTGCATAATAGCTTAACCCCACAACTGAGATCTGCAGTCAGACACCGCGAGCTCAACGGTGGGGCGCTCAGGAACAATCCCCCTAGGAACGCGAAATCCCATAGGACTTCTGACGAGCACAGACAAACGTATATGATAATGACCTCAATCTGCTAAACGTGGCGCACTGTGCAGCAGTTATAGCTTAGTATTGCATTTTCTTCGTAGTGAACGAAGAAAACGCGTCCTTTATTTTTGGGGTAACTGATGATTTCCTATTAATATCGTAATTGTTGTTCTATTATTCGCTGAGCAAATTTATATGTGCTTTTAATATTTAAGTGAAAAAATAAGATTAAGTTTGCACTTCTACTATCTAGAGTAGGTATGCTGCGCCCGAAAATTTTTTTAACTAGTGTCTCTGCTGGAATGTTGGATGTTTTTCCCGAGGAGCACTTGCCAGTTACCACCTAGAAGATTCAGAGCTTTGGTGATCTTTGCAACTCGAATCAAATATAAATAGAATGTTATGCTATCTGTTCAATTACTCGTTTGTAGGTACTTCTTTTGACGATCATTACATTTAATTTGAACTACAGGTCGCATGTTGGGTCGGGTATAGTATAGATCCTAATAGTCGTGATCTTCTAAGGCATAGTCTGGGCTCTGGACGATGCTTCATTTGCGCTCTAATGACTTTATTCAAATGGATCAAATTACCCTTATAGGGCTGATATGCGCCAAAAGTTATAAAAGTTTAAATATGCATCAGGTTGTTAGTGCGTAAATGACAAATTGAAAAGCCGTAGTTCCGTACGAAATTTTTCGACAGTCCACGCAGTTATTTATTTATTTAGTATTTTTAATTCGCAATTTTATATATTTTATTCATGGTATTCTGCATGAAAGTGTCCAGTATATAAAAGTGAAGTTGTTTTTTATTTGCGCTTCTTTTGTACTGGTCACCTAGTCAGAGTCAGACATTAATTGGACGCCGCTCTAACGACCCGCAAAATACATGCATTTCAACCTCGTTTGTTGGCTTATTATCGTCTCGCTCCCGCCAGAAGCAAACAACAATTCATGTTGGTGAAAGTCTGTGTCCGGCATTACAGTGCTATTGGCATTAATGTGCTCGCTGCATCGACAGGAAGTTTTGTCTTGTACAAGTAATGTTGATGCATTCTTGCCTGCGTTCCGACTGCGTGCAAAAAACGACGTACAAGATATCATTGGGTATTATTATGATTAATAGTATAATTCTGCCAAGGGATTGTCGTTGCTTCTGTTTCAAACGAACTTCGAGGGCACGTAACACATTGTTTGATATCTTATAAGTAGTTACATTGTTATGTGTTCAGATTCGAAAGAATTTGCCATTATCTTATTCTATTTTCAGAGTTCCCGGTGTACTGAAGCGCATTACTTTTTTAATATTTCATCAAAAGTATGTAACTTTCGTTCATTCTGAAAATCAAAAGTCTGGGAAACATACTTTGAAGTTATTTTTGAACGCACTGAGGAGTAATTTTCAGTGAACACCTGCTCAGTATGCCAGCCATGTAGTTAATTCCTGGACGAGTTTGCCGAGCCTGCGCTGCTGCGCCCTAACAGTTCAAGATCCGCTGAGCTATTCCGAGCATCTCGTAATGACGTGCTCGTTCTGACCCTCTTAAGGACCTTGAAATGTTCCAGCGACGCAGCGTGTAATTAGACGGATCTATTTCGTTATTTATATGCTCATTAAAGCTTGCTGAAACGGATGCCGAGGAGCTCTTAGCAATTGTTGTCCTGAACTGAAATGCGGCGAGCCTGTTGGTCCCGCTCATGGCTATGACTGCGAATATGCTACTTTCGCTAATGAATACTCTTCTGTGGATGGTGACTCACTCGCTTAATTGCTAGTCCAGTTTTGTATTTATTCCTCGTCTATTGTTGAGTTTCAATCCGATAAAAATCGTCCAGTTCCCCCATATGTTTTTTTTTTTCTATTGCCTAGTTGATGGTTGAATCGAATTCGTTTAAACCAGGTTTATTTCAATGCGTATATTCTTGGTTCATGAAATAAATTGAAAGATGTTTGTTCATGTTCAGTGAAGTTTACGAGTGCGCAGCTACGACGTGAAGTGAGTGGTATCTTACGCAAGGAAGACGTCGAGTTGCGTACAGCGACATTGATGCGTTTCTTGGAGGGCAGGGGGAGGGGGGGGGCTCTCTCCAGGGCTCAGCTGGTGTTGGGGTCACATCGCCCCTCCTCCTGTCTCCCCCTCTCCTCCTCTCCCTCGCACCCCCTCTCCCTCGCACCCCCCTCTCCCTCTCTCCTCAAAGAGTGAAAGTATTTCTCTTCGCAATTCTCTTTGATTGGTCATTCGCTCTTCCCTCATCTTAACGTCTCTTTTGCAGGGTTTGTCCAGTTTTGGCGATTTTTCTCCCGTTGTTTCAGTCTGTACGTATGTTCTTTCAGTTTACCTAATGGTTATCGAATTTAGTTTATCCACCCAGTGCACTGCATGTCAATCAAACGCAACTCAAGGTGTGCATTATTTTCTGTGGGCCTCATAAGTTAAAGTGAAAATTACCCACGACACCATTACCATATGTGAAGGTAATATATTACTTGTTTACCATGTCAACGATACGTGATGATTCACGTGGCTGAATATGAACTCTTACAAGAAACACAGAGGACGACGAGTGCAAAGGTCTGTAGGTGACTTCCTTTAGCAGTTGTACACG